CACACAGCCTGATGCAGGCTCGTGCACAACTGGGTACCGTATCTCCGCATGTGCGAGTTTCCAGACGTCTATCAAGATTTTATTTTTTATTTTATTTTTTTCCCCAAAGCCTCCCAAGATTGTCTCAGGGCTTGAATTTCTGGATGGGAACTCTCGCTAGCTTTATGACTTGTGCGAGAACTGTTTGATATCTAATGGCAGCCAGTGTGGTGCAATTGCTTTCTCTCTCATCATTAATCCATTATGGCTTTGCATGACATTTATCCAGGTGCTTAAGCGAGCCGCATGATCAAAAGAGCATTTTCCAAGAAAGTTTACCCAGCACGGAAGATTCTTCCACAATGTCGCTTCCGCACACGATGTGACAAATCAGCTACCAGATAATACAAAGTAGCAAGTATCCGAGTGTCGAGAAAGTTTGCTAGCAGCTGTTACAATTCGCGATTGTCGCGGGTGGGCTCCCGAGCTCACCCAATCAACAATCGATTGCGTCTGATCGGGGCACTCAAATGAGATTATGAGACACCCTGGGCAATGCGGTGGGGAACCCCATCACAGTAGCGTGTCGCCGCCCCATGTGGATCGGCGAGGCCGTCGGGTGTTGCTTCCTTCCTTCGCGGCCCTGATGTCGCGGGGAATGAGACACCCTGGGGCGGAATACGTGTAGTACACGCACATCTGTCGAGTTAGCAGCTCTCATGTGTGTGTGTTCGTGTGTATGTGCGTACGTAACCACACTGTGATGTGTCCAAAATACCTGGGGTGATCGATGACACATAATTAAAAAAAAAAAACAGGGGGCTCAGCCCCCTGATTTGTTACCAGCAGAGCGGCGCTCACCAATACTAAGGCAGTTTTGCCACTCCGTGTGTATAACGGAGCCGCAGCGGTGTTAGCTGTCACTCGACCAGCTCTGGACAAAACACCTATCTTTCATCGCGAAAAAGGACTTGCCAGAAAGCTGCGGGAAAGTTGCAAAAAGGATACTTTTTGGATACCTTGGTTTTGCAACTTTCCAGTGATGGTCAAATGTTGCAGAGATCGTGGTTGCGGGAAAGTTGCGAAAAAGTTGCATTCCTGCAACTTTCCCGCAACACAACCGCAACTTATCGGACAATCTTTGGACACGTTGCGTATACATTTCAGTCACATGTATGCAGTTTCACCACCTGCCACGTGGCCTGCGTACAGTTTCGACTTCGAAGTGTACGTACGCTGGTACATACGTGAAGATTTTTTGCCACGTAAGCAAAGATATTTGTGCCAGGTGTCATTCTCGATATGTGTACGGCAACTTGCCATGTGGGCCAATCAGACATGACCTTGAAGTGTGTGAAACTTGATTTCTACAAGCCGCCGTTTTGCCTGAACCGCACAAGCGGAGATTCCGTTTCACTGGCTGATTGTTATTGCTATTTTTTATGTATACATTCGTCTGCAACACAATATTTCTGACATTTGCGTACATACTTCTGATGTATACACTTTGCGATAACACAGCAGAACAACGAACATAGCTAGACCCAAGTACTTATACGTAGCTAAACATCTTATATGAAGGGCACACATGGCGAAAAAATGCGTCTTTTTAACGCCTGCAAACAAAACAATGACATAACGTTAGACTTTGGTTAGTCATGTGCTTGTTCCCCACCTCAGTGACTTACCACCAGCGGGCCTTCACCGTCACTCATAACATTGCCTTAGATATGCTTGAGAGCTTCTGGGTATTGTTCAAACGCCTGGAAACATCTATTGACTTCCATGAACCCTGCACATGGAAATCAGCCCTGAAACACGATGACTACATCAACAAAAGACATAACAACATTATCGTTACAGGCTGGACTCCAGACAACATGGGGTTAGAACGCGCATGGTTAAAAGCTCAAGCAGAGGCAGAGAGAGGCCTTGGTGCGACTACCACACTCACCGCGTTTCTCACGCTGAAGACGCCGCGCCCCACACGATTCGCAGGCCACCGGTCCTAGTAATGCAGTGAGCATGCCGACGAGCAGTATTGGGAGGCTGGGGAAAAAAAGAAGTGCAACTAATTAAAATGCACTAAGGAATGGGAGGACTGGCAGGGGCGGGAAAAAAAGGAACTTACAAGCCATCTCGACAGATCTGCACACATATCGGCAAGATACGAACAGATCGATTGCTCGCGAAGCATAACCCGTGAGAATAGATGAACAAGTTACAACCTAAGGCACACGCACGGGAAAATGATAGCTTGGTTACGAGTTACGGGAAGCATGTGTAGCACACCTTTCGGCGCTTTTCGCGCGGAACCCGGCGATTCCGTTACTAGTCGCTGGTGCCACGTTCTCCGCGTGTAGAAAATGTTGTTGTGTAATCTGTAAAAGGATAGGGGAGGATTCGCAGAGGCCGAATTGATAACATGGGTCTGAGTTACAAGCAGTGGTAATAAAATGCAATAACATGTAGAAGTGATGTGGTCTTTAGGTAGACGCTAATTGTGCTAAGAGGACACTCAGAGGCAGGAGATGTGAAGAACCTTAGTCACTTGTGTGAAAATGAGGTAGGTGACGGGTGTTTGGTCGGGAGAGAGTCATGCGCAGAGTGAGGGTAAGAAAGACAGATGCTTCTGAGCTTGGAGGTGTGCTGAAGTGTCGTCAAAATATGCCGTTGATTTTTGCTGCAGGCAAGAGCACCCCAGTGATTGGTTAGTAAAAAATCATTAGGTTCGACCACTTCGTTACGGGTTAGCTGAAGCTTGGTCTGTGGAAGCCACGTCAGTACCCGAAATCTGAACACTTAGCACTGATTGGGTGTGACTGTGAACCCTTGTGCCTGTTGCCAGCTCCGATTCCTGGTTGTACCTTGGCGACGGTCGTGCGGTTTGTATCCACGTTACCGTGTTCGCAACTTTCGAGAATGCTAACCTAATTTGTGCCAAGTGTTCATCTATCGGACACCTGCAGTTTCACAGCAAGGGAGACTCCCACATTTTGGTCGTGACCAGGTGTGTTGTTCGGTGCCGAGGTGTCGAATTTGATGCTAGAAATGTGCGGTTCGTGAAACCCACGAATCCGAAAATCACACCTCGGGTTACCCACGTATCCAAAATTCGCGGCTCGGTTACCCCTTGTATCCTAAGTTTGTGTGAGTTGCTTTTTCAGTCTATGCTTTTTGGATACATTCAGGATACATGTCAGCAACTTTCCTGCAGCTTTCAGACTTCAACTCAAATTTTGGCCTTAGCCATTTCCGCGATGTTCTCGCCATGGCCCGCTACTATGTCGCCACTTGCCTGCTCGTTCTCCTTGCTACAACGTCTGCCGTTGTGAACGCGGGAAGCGACAACTCGAATGCGGCGAGCGACAAGGCCGCTGCCAAGTGGGCCGCTGCTGCTGAGAGGGGGAGGGCTGCTGCTGGTGAGAGGGAGAGAGCTGCTGCTGCTGAGAGGGAGAGGGCTGCTGCTGCTGAGAGGGAGAGGGCCGCTGCTGCTGAGAGGGTCGCCGCTGAGAGGGAGAGGGCCGCTGCTGCTCAGAGGGAGATGGCCGCTACTGCTGAGAGTGCCGCTGCTCAGAGGGCCGCTGCTGAGAGGGCCGCTGCTGACAAGGCTGCTGCTGAGAGGGCCGCCGCTGAGAGGGACGCCGTTGCTGAAAGGGAGAGGGCCGCTGCTGAGATGGTCGCTGCTGAGAATGCCGCTGCTGACAAGGCAGCTGCTGACAAGGCCGCTGCTGACAAGGCCGCTGCTGACAAGGCCGCTGCTGACAAGGCCGCTGCTGACAAGGCCGCTGCTGACAAGGCCGCTGCTGACAAGGCCGCTGCTGACAAGGCCGCTGCTGACAAGGCCGCTGCTGACAAGGCTGCTGCTGACAAAGCCGCTGCTGAAAAGGCCGCTGCTGGCAAGGCCGCTGCTGACAAGGCCTTGAAGGCCTTAAATCAGATCCGCGGCCGGAAACTGGGCGACGATGACTTGATCTAATTTTAGGGTTGGAGAGGGCCCTTGGACGTTTTGGGGGGTGGGAAGAGAAGCGGGGGTAAACTAGCAGGTGCGGTGACATGTGGCTGATTTCGGTGGTTTTGTGGAAGCTCGGTTTTTAGGAAAAAGCGGGAAGATTTGGTCGTGTTGTTGTTATAGCTCCATAGATTGATGAATGTAGGAGGGGACAATATGAAGTGCAATCTACTTTTGCTAGGAAATATATGCAAGTGCTATCCATGTTATTTGCAAATGTATGGTCATCACTATAATCGGGATAACAGAGAGACCTGTAGAATGGGATTCAAGTTATAGCATTGTCCCAACTGCACATGCAGAAGGAAAGGGAGAAGGAAAGTAAAACTGCCAAAAAATCCCAAAAGCAACACACATAAAAAACCCCCATCTAGATACCCAAACAAAACACCTAGTCAAGACACCCCATCCCGCACCCCATTTCACCCCCCTTCAATCACATCTCTGAAAACCATTGCTGTGAGTGCCCTTCTTTCAACCAAAACCTCTTGATGCGGCTGGGTACCCCTGCTTTACTCCTGCTGCGCACGGTGGCCATGTTCAACGTTCTCAACAACCTCTCAGAGAACCAGAGCTTGCTATAAGTGCCTATTTTGGCTTAGAGGTATTGTGAATCACTCCTGCCCGGGTCACGTACACTACCCATATCAGTGCCCATGGTAGCGAGATGCTCAATGCCTCAACAACCTCTCCAAGAACCAGAGCCTGCTGTGGTAGGAGCTGAGTTGCACTGCAGCATCCGGCCGCCCTGCTCGCAACCATCACTCCCGCCACGCATGCTCTCCACATCCCTTAACTCTGATGATCATGGAACGCTCTCCTCTCCTCACCACCGCATCCCCCAATCTCCGTTGCAACTAGGTGACTTTTGAGTCGACTAAAAAGTCACCCCCTTAACTCTGATGATCATGGAACGCTCTCCTCTCCTCACCACCGCATCCCCCAATCTCCGTTGCAACTAGGTGACTTTTGAGTCGACTAAAAAGTCATTCCCTTAACTCTGATGATCATGGAACGTTCTTCTTTCCTCACCACCGCATCCCCCAATCCCCGTTGCAGCGTCCTGCCAGCCTGGTCCAACCTCTGGCTGCAGGCAGCCATCACCCTCTCCATGTCCTCCACTTCCTCATCCTCTACGTCCCAGCCCTCGCTGTCCTCTTCTCTGAGAGTTCATTCGCGCCTCTTCCTCATGTTGACGTCATCCTTGCCCTCACTGTTTCTCTTCTTTGTAAGTGCGTCAGGGCCCCTGCAAGATGATTCCTTTCCTTTCTCTTCTTCGTTGTTCCCCTTGCTCACCATTCGCCTTGCCCAGCTCATCCCCTCACACGTGCCTTGAGTACCCCTTTCCATCTTGTTATTCCATGGCAGGTCGGCCCTCTCTCCTGGCCTGAGTGGCGCGCAGTGCTGCTCTTCTCCTTCCCTGTACGCCACCCTTCCAACTTAAGACATCCCCCTCTTTCTCTCTGTTGTATGCGTAGGGTGTTTTTATTCTGAATTCTCAGAATCACCCTTTCTCTCCGTTGTAGGCGTAATCCTCCATGCTCCATCCTCTGTCCGTTGCCCTGTCTCATGCCCTGCCATCCTCCCATATTCAATCCCCTACTCTTTCTCATACCTTGCCATCCCCCATGCTTGTCCCTTAACCTGTCCCCATGCCAGGTGATAATCGTGGACGAGATGCTCAAGATATTCTCAAACCCTGCCCCACGCCATGCCCTCTCCCCATGCCCTGTCTGCCCCCCCTGCTCCGCCCCTTTACCTGTCCCCATGCCAGGTCATCATCGTGGACGAGATTCTCAAGATCTTTTCAAGAAACATGTCAGGTGGGGCGTCAGGTATCAGGTGGTGTGTCAGGTGTGGTGTAAGGCGTCAGGTGAGGGATCAGTACTAGGTTAGATGTCAGTACCAGGTGAAGAACACATAATTGCCGGCTGCATGAAGTTCAGGAGGGTTTCGGCTCTGTAACACATCTGTCAGGCATGAGCATTGTGGGCGCACTCACCCTGCATTAATGCATAAGAGGTCCCTAGTAGCTTGTTGCAATGCGCTTGCGTTAGTGTGTGCTCCGTTCTTGCCTCCACCTCCACTACATGCATTAGCGTGTACGCACTGCACATGCCTTGAAGTGTTTTCAGGTATTGTCCTTTTCTGTGTCTCGATTGGTTTCCCTGGAGTCGGAGTCAACTCACACACCAGCTCTTCCCTCCCTGCTTTATCCCTTGCCTTGAATCAGTTCATCCTGGCAAGGCCAAGTCATCGTCGCAGCCGCAATGGTCCCTCCTGCCGTTCAAGCGGCCAAAGGAAGAGTCAGGGGAGAACCACACAGCCTGATGCAGGCTAATCTTACACATCTGGTATCTGCCAATGTGCGAGTTTTCGAAGACTTCATTTTTTCTGATGACAGCCAATGTTTTACACGTGGTAGCCTGCTCATCATTATTCTTATTGGCATGACATTGATCAGGTGGCCAATCATACGGTAGATGGCAGCTTCTTTAGAGAACTAAGCCATGTGCTTGTATTTATTTATTAAATTCATGAAAACAAAATTTTCACTTCAAAATCTTCCTACGGTACTTAACCATTCGAACGAATGCTAGGTACCGTATGGCCCCGGATATAGGCGCCTTCCGATTAAAGGCGCCGGCGCCTCTATCTGGAGCATGGCGCTTATGGCCGTTCCTCGATTATAAGCGCCCCCTTTAGAAAACCTTAACATATTATAAGCGCACGTGTAATTTTAATCTAATTTCTTGCTTAAAACGGTACCGAAATACATTTTTGCAGTGAGTCAGATTTCAATTTCGCTTCGTTTGACTCGCGAAGACCTGACTGGCTTCGCGTCCAGTCAGGATGTGCTGGCATGACGTGTCTTTGCCTTTGTGTGAACCCAGAATATCGCTTGCGCGAGATTCTGCTTTGCGACGCTATAACATTTCGACTCGGTTGAAATGGCAAGAAGAAAATGAACAATTTGGTGCTCTAAATATATAATTTCTTATCTTTCATTACATAAGCGCCGGCACTTATGGCCGTTACCCAATTACGAGCGCCCCCCCTTAAAAAAAAAATAAAAAAATTTATAAGCGCATATGCGCTACTATCCGGGGCCATACGGTACCTGTAGAATACGTGAGAGAATATTCCATAAGGTACAGAATCTTCATTTCATCTTGAACAAGCATCGTGTAACACCCTCATCAAAGCAGGTTCACAAAAGCACTGGATTGGAAGCAAGCAACCCAGACGCAGCAGCCCATATTAGCCCAATAATTGTTGCAACAACCTCAGCAGGTTTACGCATGACTCTCGCCCCTTCTCTCTCGCTCTCCCTTCGTCACCCTTTCGCCCCACTACCCAATAGACGCATCAGCCAGAGCAGCAGAGCTGCATACGCCACCAGCAACAGCAAGAGGCACGCCCTTGTAGCATGCCACCCTCTCCCCGTTGGTGCGCAGATCCACCTGCACCGCTTCCCACACCTTCTTCTTCGGGTTCAGCTGCGCGTCTGGTTCCCCGGGGTAGTCGGGGCACGTGATTCGATCGCCGGGTGCTGCCCCCTCAGGTGGGTTGATAAGCTCGACCTGTCAGGGAGACAAGAGTGGGAGAAAAAGGAATAGGAAAGGGGAGGTGAGTCAGGTCTCACACCTTCTTCGGATTCAGCGGCGAGTCTGGTTCCCCGAGGTAGTTGGGGCACGTGATTCGATCGCTGGGTGCTGCCTCTTCAGGCGGGTTAATGAGCTCAACCTAATAGGGAGGAGTGAGGGAGAGTGAGAGGAGGGAAGGGAAGAGGAGGAGCATAAGGTCTCAACCCTACTTTTTCAGGTTCTGCTCCCTGGGGTACTCGGGGCTGGTGATACTATCGCCAGGTGCTGCCCTCTTTGGTGCCGGGTTAATGAGCTCCAACTGAAGAGTGGGCGACGGTGACGGGAGAGGGAGTGAGGGAAGGTGAAGGGAAAAGTAGGAAGGGCACCATGTAGTCGCTGACCAGATGGCACCGCACTTGGCGAGTTCACCCACAGTTGACCCACAGTTGACCCACAGTTGACCCACAGTTGACCCACAGTTGACCCACAGTTCACCCACAGTTCACCCACAGTTCACCCACAGTTCACCCACAGTTGACACACAGTTCACCCACAGTTGACCCACATTGACCTGCATTGACCCACATTGATCCACATTGACTCACAGTTGACCTACATTGACCCGCACTGACCCACAACTCATCGCCACCACCCTCTTGATGCCCCTCATGGCTGTGCTTGTGCGTCACATGCTAGTGTACAAACCAACTGCCATAGCATCCAACTGCGCTATATAATACACATGGTGGGTGCCCCATAACCCACCTGAGTGTGGTCCGCATTTGATGCAGCGAGAACCATGGCATGGCTCTTGACGCCCCTCATGGCTGCATAAAGCACGAGCTTCAGATGGAGCAACAGAAACCAACTGCGCTAGCAACAGGCTACACTATAGGCCACCTGCCCCATCACCTACCCCATCACCTACCTGGGTGTGGTCCGCATTTGATGCAGCGAGCACCATGGCATGGCTCTTGACGCCCCTCATGGCTGCTGGCTTAAGGTTGCACAACACACATACCAACCGATCCTGCATACATGACATGACAACACACATGCATGCACACGTGGGGAGAAACAGAGGGATAGAGAAATGAAAACGAAGCTGTGCGGAGCAGTGGGCCCTTAATGCCCCTCATTGCTGCTGGCTTGAGGTTGCACAACACACACACCAGCCGATTCTGGTGGAAGGACACACGGAGGGAGAGGTGGGAGTCAAAGAAAGAAAGTCATAATCAAGATGGAGGGGAGGAATGCATGGCCATGAAAAGAGCACCGCCTTCACCTGAACACTTTTGAGGCGCCTCAAAAGAGCACCGCCTTCACCTGAGCACACCTTCTACTGCACACAACCCCTCTGTTCCTCACCTGCATCTGTTCGATCGGCACGAATTTAACCAACCCGTTGACAACGGTGCGCGGCCCCTCTGCTTCACCCAACTCTATCTCCTCCACATACAGCGAGTCCGTGTCTGGGTGCTTTCTCACTCTCAACTCACAAGACCGTTTTCCACCGCATTGCACCATCCTGCGCCCGAAGAAACCTCCATTCCTCACCTGCATCTGTTCGATCGGCACAAACTTCACGAGTCCGCTGACAACGGTGCGAGGCCCCTCGGCTTCCCCCAGGTCGATCTGCTCCACATACAGCGAGTCCGCGTCTGGGTGCTTGTCCACCTTCACTATCCGCCCCACTCTCAGGTCCAACCGAGACACATCCACTGGTGCGCTCTCTGCTGCTCCTCCTCCTGCTTTCCCTCCTCCGGATTTCCCCTTCTCTCCCTTCTCCCCCTTCTCTCCCTTCTCTCCCTTCTCCCCCTTCTCCCCCTTGCTCTTCTTCTCTTTCTTATCAGCTGCACCATCTGCCGCCCCGTCTCCCTTCTCCCCCTTCTCCTTGCCCTCCCCTTTCTGCTTCGTCACACCATCAGCACCACCACCACCACCTTTCCCCTTCCCCTTTCCAGCACCACCACCTGCCTTGGCACCACCAGCACTAGCAGCAGAACCACCAGAAGCAGCAGCGGCGGCGGCAGCAGCAGTGCGATCAGCCTGGCTTCCAGCAAACCTATTTCTGAAAGCGTCCACCTCGTCGTCCTTCATTTCTCGGAAGATGGGCTCCACGGCACCGATGGTATGCCCAGCCGCCACCACCCCCCACGGCTGGCAGGCCGCTGCTGCTGCGGCGTCGGTGAGAGAGAGGGACGAGGCGGGCAGATTCAGCTGCGCCAGCACCTGCGAAAGGCAAGAGGGGACGGGGAGAAAGGGAAACAGGGGAAGAAGAAGCCTTAAAGATCCTGGTCCCATGCAAATCTGTGGCTGAAAGCAGGAACCTGGTGGTGCCAGTGGTCCTTCATTTCTCGAAAGATGGGCTCCACGGCACCGATGGCTTGCCCAGCCGCCACCACCCCCCACGGCTGGCCGGCTGCTGCTGCTGCTGCTGCAGTGTCGGTGAGAGAGAGAGAGCGATGAGGCTGGCAGATTCAGCTGCGCCAACACCTGTGGTTGAGGAGGAGGATGGGGTCGACCAGAGGACAAAGAAGGGAAGTGGAGTGTGAATGGGAAAAGGAGGGTATGAAAAGGAGCAGCAGCGTGGCCAGCAGATGCACCACCCCCACCGCTGACCGCATCACCACAGCGCACCGTGCCTTATCCTCCTTATAGCCCCCAGGCCCCGGCACGCAACCTACCACCCCAAACAAAATACCATCCCCGCCACTCACGTCAGGAGAAGGCCTCTTAACCAGCAGCACACAAGCCTCCCCTCACTTTACACCACCTTGCATCAAGAGACTCACCTTTTCTGAGAAGGAGGGCATGAAGGGGTGCAGCAGCGTGGCCAACAGATGCACCACGCCACCCCCACCGCGGACCGCATCACCACAGCTTGAAGCAGCAGTCACCAAGCCTCTCAACGAACAGCAACACCTCATACCACAGGACCCACCTTTTCTGAGAAGGAGGGCATAAAGGGATGCAGCAGCGTCGCCAGCAGATGCACCAGCCACCCACCTTGTCTGAGAATGACGGCATGAAGGGATGCAGCAGCGTGGCGAGCAAATGCACCACCCCTACCGCGGACCGCATCACCACAGCGCAGCGCGGCTTATCCTCCTTATAGAGCTTCCAGAACTTGGAATCCTGCAGGTACAGGTTCCCCGCGCTGCTGACCGCCATGGCCGTTTTAAGCGCCGCTTTTAGCTTCACTTTCTCCATATTGTCAATGTATTCCTTAACTAAGTCTCCAACTGTCTGCCCGAACTTGGCTGTCAGGTCGTCCTCCTGTGCTTCCGGAGCTTCTGGTACG